GATTTATTTCTATTTTATTTTTAATTTATTTTTTTGATGCCACATAAGTGTTTAATTTTATTGCATGTAGCTTGCATATATTTTTATACACCAAGTATAATACAAAATATTTTGATATTACTTTCATTTGATTTATTTATTTATTTATTTATTTTTATTTCAAATTTTCAAGGTATCACATTCTACCCTCCTTAAAGAATGCTTCGTCCTCGAAGCATAAACTAAGACGAGAATTAAGTATGAAGATAAAGTATTACAAGTTTATAAGATGTTACATCCCGCCTCCCTAAAAGAATGGTTACGTCCTCGTAACCCAATATTTACCTTAGTTGAACAGTTCAGGATACCGTTTACGCATATCCTCTTCTGTCTCCCATGTTGCATTCTCGGTCAAATGGTTTGACCAAAGTACTTTTACCATCTTAACTTTCTTCTTCCTCGTCTCTCGGGTTTTAGTATCAAGGATCTCTACGGGTTTTTCTTCGTAGGATAACGCCTCATCCATTTCAATCACATAATAATATAAGGGTTACCTTATATTATTTCCAATTTACTTTGGTTCATGTTAAGTTTAGGGTCTCTTACCTCAGGATTGATGATATGTGACTCATCTCGAACGTACTTCTTTAATTGTGATACGTGAAAGACGGTATGTACCTAGCACAAGTCTGTATGTTAAGGATGAAATCTAATCGTTGAAAAGTATCTTGTTTTAAAATCGTTTGTTACCTTATCCAACTCTGTGGGTAGAGCTAATCGATATGCCACTTTTCCCACCTTCTCTAGGATGTCGTAGGGTCCGATGAACCTTGGGCTTAGTTTCCCTTTCTTCCCGAACCTCATTACTCCCCTTGTAGGAGAGACTTTGAGTAGAACTTTCTCCCCTACCTCGAATTCAGCTGGCTTCCTCCCAAGATCGGCATATGATTTCTGTCGGTCTTGGGCAGCCTTCATCCTCTCTTGGATGACTTTGACTTTCTCTATGGTATGTTGCAAGTATTGTGGTCCTAGAACCACCTGATCGACAATGTCACCCCAACATAAGGGACTTCTACACTTTTGATCGTATAGAGCTTCGTACGGGGCCATTCCGATGCTAGCATGGTAACTGTTATTGTACGAAAACTCTATTAAGTCTAGGTGTTCATCCCATGATCCTTGCAAATCAAGAACACATGCCCTCAACATGTCTTCTAACGTTTGGATTATTCTTTCGGTCTGCCCATCCGTGGTTGGATGAAAAGCAGTACTTAACTTCAATTTTGTCCCCATAGCCGTTTGTAATTCCTTCCAGAATTGAGATAAGAATCGTGAATCTCGATCTGATACGATGTCTTGAGGTACTCCGTGGTGTTTGACCACGTATTTGACATAGGCTTTGGCCAGCTTGTCCATGCTCCAAGTTTCATTCATGGGAATAAATCTTGCAGTTTTGGTTAAGGGTAACCCTCCAACAAAATCCATCGAGATGGAATCCCACTTCCATTTAGGTACTTCCAAGGGTTGCACAAGTCCCTTGGGTTTACATCTCTCTGCTTTGACTTTTTGGCAATTCAAACATCGGGATACGAATTCAGCTACTTCTCTCTTCATTCCCGACCACCAAAAGTTCTTTTGAGGTCTTTGTATAGTTTGTCTCCCCCGGGATGTACTGAGTAGGGAGTGTTGTGTCCCTCCTCCATGATTTGTCTTTTAATATCTGCATACTTCAGAGGAACACACCACCTTCCGTTGTATCGGATGCTCCCATCTTCATGTGTCCTGAATGGTCCATTGACCCCATCTTTCATTCTTTCCTTGATTCTCTCGAGCTTCACATCTCTCGGTTGCCCATTCTTGATCTCCTCGAAGATAGATGGTGTAACGGTCATAATACATAACTGTATTTCACTATCTACTTCGCCATATTGTTTTACTTCCAAGTTAAATCTTTGAAAGTCTCGGAACAGTTCTTCTGGTAATATCCATGTTGCTCGGCATGAGTGCTCAGATTTCCGGCTCAAAGCATCCGCCACCACATTAGCTTTTCCCTCGTGGTATTGGATTTCCAGGTCGTAATCACTTAGAGGTTCGAGCCATCTTCTTTGCCTCATGTTAAGCTCTTTTTGAGTGAATATGTACTTCAAGCTTTTGTGGTCAGTGTATATCTTACATTGTGCTCCGTATAGGTAATGTCTCCAGATTTTCAGTGCAAACACTACTGCAGCTAACTCCAAGTCATGAGTAGGATAGTTAACTTCATGCACCTTCAATTGTCTTGATGCATAAGCCACCACTTTCCTATTATGCGTAAGCACACACCCCAACCCCTTCTTAGATGCATCGCTATAGATATCGAACCCCTTCATCCCTGATGGTAATGTCAAGACCGGCGCGGTTGTGAGTCTTTTCTTCAACTCTTGAAATGCCGCTTCACAATCTTCATCCCAATAGAACTTGGAAGCCTTCAACTTTTAGCTTTACATTATCATAAAAAATCCAACTGAGAAATGTAGCAATATAGTTGTTTGCTTTAACTGTAGACATCTGCAAAAACAAACTTGAACGGGTTAAGAGGATTCTTGGGGCTAACAGAATATTATAAAAGATTTGTTCAAGGTCAAGATATCCATAAAACGGCTTTTAGGACCCATGAGGGTCACTATGAATATGTAGTGATGCCTTTTAGGCTCACTAATGCTTCAACCACTTTTCTTTTGTTAATGAACCAAGTTCTTAAACCCTATTTGAGAAAGTTTGATTTGTTTTTTTTATAATATTTTGGTGTACAGTCACAACAGTGAAGTTCATAAGGAACATCTAAAGAAGGTATTATAGATTCTGGAAGAAAATCTATTGGTGGCAAACATGAAGAAGTGCACTTTTGGGCAGAAGCAATTGGCTTATCTGGTACATCTAATTCCCGATCAGGGTGTGTTGCAGTTGATCCCAGTAAGATACAGCCTGTTCAAGATTGGCCCATACCCTCTAATTTGAAGAGTGGGGATTTTTGGGATTAACGGGGTATTATAGAAGATTTGTGAAGGGATACAGTAAAATCGCTCTTCTTTTAACTAACATGTTGAAGAAAGATGGATTCAACTGGGATCAGGAAGCTATTCAGGCCTTTGAGCAATTGAAGAGTGTCATGACTACCTTTCCTGTGCTAGCTGTTCCTAATTTTGATAAAAGTTTTGTGATGGAGGCTGATACTTTAGGGAAGGGCATTGGAGCAGTGTTAATGCAGGACAGAAAACCAGTAGCGTACATGAGTAAAAGATTATGTGAAAGAAATCAAAACAAATCAGTTTATGAGCGGGAACTAATGACAATTGTGTTAGCTGTGCAAAAGTGGAATACTTTTATTAGGGAGGTGTTTTTAAATACACACTGATCAAAAAGAGCCTCAAGTTTCTGACAGAACAGAGGGTGATTGTAATACCCGAGATTAATTTAAGAGAATAATAGTACTACTCATACAAACAGAGGTGCATCTCGTTTTAAGAGAGCTCATCACCCAATAACTCCAAAGTTAAGCGTGCTTGTACGGGAGTAGTCTTGGGATGGGTGACCCCCTAAGAAGTTTCTCAAAGAGCGCGGTAAAGGCTCATGGTGGTTTGTGAGGACAGTAATAGAGGTCCGAAGAGAGTCAGGAGTAACTACCTCGGGTCCTGCGGGGCTGGGGTGTTACAGGTTGTATCAGAGCAACCCTGCGACAGTGTGCTGACCCGTTGGATATCGGGTGGGCACTTAGCGGGGTAAGATTTTGGGATTTGATCTAGATTGGTTTAAGGGCACAACGATGACATTCCGATCCTAACTGGGGTGATTGTAATACCCGAGATTAATTTAAGAGGATTAATATTACTACTCATACAAACAGATGTGCATCTCCTTCTAAAGGAGCTCATCACCCAAGAACTCTAAAGTGAAGCGTGCTTGCAGAGGTGTAGTCTTGGAATGGGTGACCCCTAGGAAGTTTCTCAGGGCGCGCACGAGTGAGGACAAAGTGCAATAAAGACTCGTGGTGGTTTTTGAGGACAGTACTAGAGGTTCGAAGAGAGTTTGGAGTAACTACCTTGGATCCTACGGGGCCGGGGTGTTACAGTGATGGGGAAGAACAACAAAAGTGGGTGGCGAAGTTGTTGGGTTATAATTTCACCATACACTATAAACCTAGGTTAGAAAATAAGGCTGCTGATGCTTTATCAAGGAAAGGAAGCCGCTCACAATCTAGAGAAACTAGTCCATTTAACTTAAAAGGGTATACAATACTTTAGGTTAAGTAGTCATGAATTATTGTTAGCATAGATTATAAGTATATTAGAATACCATGTAGTCACAATCTAGAGAGAAGACATAGCCTAAAATCTAAAGTATTGTACACCCTTTCAATAGTTCAATCACATAACTCTACTTTTCCTTAAAACCACAACACTCTCTTTTGTCCCAATCTTAATGGCGGAGGTAGTATATGAAGTGCAAGTGAATGAGTCAATCGCATAGGGCGCATCATTGCCACCCAGAGCGCATAATCACCTCATCTGTTGGAGTAACCTTTACCGGCACTGCCATAGCCTCCGGCACCACTGCTACCAAAGATTTGGTCACATCTACCAGCATAACTTTCGTCGCTGCCGCTTAGCATCCGTTGCCACCTTCGCGGCGACCACCACCATAAGCTCCCCTACCACTTCCTTGATGATGTTCACCGCCGTAGCCTCCACCGTATTTTCCGTTCATTGAAGAGAAGATATTTTCTACGAGTTGCTTTAGCGGTTGAAAAAGCAATTTTACCAAGGGTAAATTTATAAAGTTAACTAGTTTCTTTTTTTGGAAGAAGTTAATCAGTTTTTAATTTATGTCATGTTGTTAAAAGACACTTCTTCAGTGGTTCATTATTTTTAACCCATCTTTCGATGAGAAGAAGTGATATAATAATCTGGTTTAGGTTATTGGGTTAGAGCTTATAACAAAAGCTTTAGTGGTTCATTATTTTTATTCCGTATTCTTTTAACTAGTATGTAGGTTTATAAAATAGGCCCTGTCTCAAATTTTAAAAAATCAGGCCCAGTCCGAGTACTCCAAAAAGCCGTGCGCAGGGAAAGAGCAAGAGCAGCGGAGCAGTCCCTTACTCCTGCTTTGCCGATATCGTGAAAACCCCACGCCAAAAACGAAAAACGAACTCCAGACGGGCGACGCCGCGAGGGCCATCTTCACTGCCGGACGGCCATCTTCACTGCCGGACGGCCAGGACAGGACGGCGCACGGCGGCTGCAGGCTGCTACTCTAAATCCTCTAATTTCTCTTTGTCATCAAACAAGCTAAAAGCTATCCCTCTTAATAAGAAGGTAAGGTGAATGTTACTGATCAATTTCTTCCCTAAATTCAGTAAACTAACAAATTCTTGTGTATAACAGATACTTTTGAAGTTTTGAGAAGAGGAGATTTGGGTTTTTTTCGTAACATCAAAAAGGAGAAGTGCTGCCTAAGTCAATAAAGGCATAAGTGGTTAAGAGGTATTTTTTTAATCTTTTAAATTTTTTGTGTTTTTAATTCAAGTTAAAGACTAAATTACAGCTTTACTGGATATGAATTTGATTATTTTTTGTGAACTTGTAAATTGTAATGAATATTATTGTAAATTATGTAAATTTATGTATTGATATGAATTCAAGATTGTGTTTAAATCTTCCTGTTGCAACCGCTAGTGTTGAAAGAGTATTTTCAGCAATGAATATAGTGAAAGATAGGTTGAGCAACCGGATGAGTGATGACCAATCTTCTTGAAAATTGACAATGATGTCATAATCAAACGATATCAATCGATAAAAACCCGTAGAGAAGAGTTGTAAAATTATGGTGTTTTTGTATTTGACTTTAATGAAAACTCTTATTCCTATAATATTTTTTCTTGTCTTTGATTTTGTTGCTAGAATAAATGTTTTTTTTGAATATTCGTTTTTAATTACATTTTGGCCTCACCTGGATGCTAAAGCTAGATCCGCCCCTGATCATCATCATTACCCCAGTGCCACAAAGGCTCCCACCTACGGTGGGGTAAGGGGGGGTTGGATGTACGCAGTCTTACCCCTGTACTAAAGCACAAAGAGACTGTTTCCGAATGACTCATAGTGAAAATCGCGTCGAAAAATACATGGACTGTTTGCTGCTTCAAAATAAAGAAGTGCAGGCAGTTTAGTGAGTCATTTTGCTTTATTCCATCATATTCTCAAATCAAAATAATAATTTTTTGAAATAATCAAAATTTATTATTTAAGCATTTTGACAACTTATTACTTTTAGTTAAGGCAATTTCCTTTTCTTTTTTAAATAACCTCATGTTCACAATGAAACAGCCAAACAGGTAGAAATGGTTATTCCACCTCCGGTTAGACCAGAAAGAATTTCAAAGTTCTTGAAACCATATGTGCTGAGGATGCACTTTACGAACAAATATGTGAATGCGCAAGTGGTTCACACGCCCACTGCAACAGTGGCCGCGGCTGCAAGCACACAAGAAAAGAGCTTGAGGCTGGCAATGGCAGAGGCCAAAGAAAACACCAGAGATGTCTCTGCTGCTTCAAAGATAGGCAAGCTGCTCGGTGAGCGTCTGCGGATCAAAGGCATTCCTGCTGTTTCTATATTCTTCAAGAGGGAGCAGAGGTATCATGGGAAGGTCAAAGCTGTGATTGATTCCATCAGGGAAGAAGGAATAAAATTGGTTTGATTTTGTGATCTCTTTTATCCTCTTCAATAATATTTCCTAGTGTACTCATCCTGTCTCTCTTCAAAACCCATTTAGAAATGTACTGTATTTTTTGTTCACCGTGTTCTCCGGCTGGCCAAGAGAATGTGTTTTGCCTTTTACTCCATCATTAACCCTCTAAAAAAGCACGATCTAACTCTACAAATTTAGCTTTTAAGGCGATTCGCTTTTATAATTGACAGTAATGCCTAATTGTCGAAAAGCATCAAATAAACAAGAAAGGGTTTTGAGTAATGCATATTATCTCAAGTTTAAATTGAATAGAAAACATCATGTAAACTAGGATTGAAGCTTAGAAAGCTATGTTGAAAAATTTGCATGTGAGGCTGCACTGTGTCAAGTTGAAATTAAAGACTCAACTGAGCACCTTAATTTAGTTGTACTAGTATTTCATACAAGGTATGTCCATCTGTATTATATCTAGGGCTTCTCGAGTCTAGGCTGCTTATTGTATTATACTGGGCTGTGGTTTAAGGCCTCTAGGCTGCTTATTGTATAATAGTTGGCTGTGGTCTAGGGCCTCTAGGCCAGCCCATCAGTGTTAGTGTGTTACCATATGATATTATGAGACATATATCAGTAGCATGTACGGACTATCAAAGTATACCCAACCCAGCCAGTAGTCATACGGACCACGTTTAGTCATACGGCACTTGGCAGCTGATTCTTTTTATAACAAGGGTGCTGGAACATTTGGCCTGATAAGCCTGCTGGCCTGAAGTTAAAAAAACCTGTAAACCTCCAGTGGTCCTCATGGGGGATTCAAACTAGTGAGTAGTGATGCTAGAGAATATTTTAATATATTCCCAAGTTTAAACCAGTTCAACAAATCTAGTCTAGAAGGTAATGGCAACTGATTTATCAGTATATAAGAGAGTAATTACAACCAACTGATTAATCAGTATCCAAGAAGCATGAAAACTTTGCAAGGTTAACTTGTTATTTTAGAAATTTGGATGCAATTTGAAATTTGGGGAACTTGAAATTCATGTTTGAACCATTTCCATAATTAAAAATTTGGGAAACTTGTTTAACTAATTAGCATTTTGATATATCTGGATGGAAATTACTCAGTTTTTTTATGGGATTTTGATGATGCATTTTTGAAGAAATATCTCTAGAGCAATATAGTTTATGTGATTATCATTGTGAAGTGTGGACATGTAGTAATTTATGTATAATTTCAATATTTGATGTTTTAAACATGCAAACCATTTTCATATTTGGTTTGCGTATGAGCGTATCAAAGGATTCAAAGCTGGTATGAAGTAAGGCCTGTGATTGAAGCAAACTGCATGCATTTCTTTGGGTCTCAGAAAACTTTGAACCTGCAATTTCTACAAAATTAGGCAAGTTGTTTGGAAGCTTTCTTGAACTGATAGGTGGGGCAGTACTTTACATGGATTTAACACTTGTGAGCGACCAACATATAAACACACCAAAGAGGTTGTGATGATTTTGACACATGAAAAAATCATACCTGGCTTGTTATCTTAGATGAGTAATTAATTAATGTGAAGTAATAAATTTGGGAACTCATAGAATTGTATGTGCTTTTTATAATCCTTTCTTTCTGTTTGCACAATGCTTGAATTGAATTTTATGGTCCCCTTCACAGTTTGCCGGACTGTCCCTTTCAAGCTGTAGAATCATCAACAACTTCAATTCTTATAGGCTATGCGTCACTTTTGAAATCAAGCAAAGCATAGTAATAAGGATACTATACTAACTATAGTAGTAAGTTCGGCTGTTAGTAATGGATATAAGCTGGAGGAGGATCACCCTCTTAATTAAGAGGCCATTTGACAACACTGTTTTTCGGTTTATCAGGCTTATCAGACAACTTTTTCATCGAACACGTAATTTTTGTTTTCGCGCGCCGAATTGTGTAATAAACAGAAAAAGTAAGGTTGAAGTTACTTTTCTGGCTGTATTGGCTGAAGTTAATGTAGATGACCATTTAAGAATTTTTACATATAATTTTTTCTTTATTTTATTAATAAAATATATTTTAATTTTTTTCTTAAATCAGCAAAATTAGCCAATGTAGCCACTTCACCTAGAACTTCATAAATTTCTGCAGAATCAGCGAAATCAGTCGATTTTCGTGCTCTAAGTGTCACCTTAACCCCACATTAGTATAATATTATCTGCTTTAGATCATACTACCACAAATTTGTTATCGGCGACCTAGAGCTACATCCGAACTAAAATGTTTAGTTCAGAAATAGCGCAAGATTTTTTATATCAGTTCAATGACCCATATTTTATCATCTATGACTTTAACAGTTTAACCTGTGAGTTGCGATCCTATCAGGCCGCCCTGATGGGACTAGGGATGGATTCGGGTCGGGCCGCCGGTTCAAGAAAAGTGGGCCCGGGACCGGCCCGAGGGTTGGACGGGTCCGGTTCGGGCCGAGCCACCTGCCCGGGTCACGGGTCGGGTCCGGTTCGGGCCGGGCCGGTTAATTTTTTATTTTTATAATTTATATTTTATAGTTTATAGTTTTATACGAGTATTAAAAACAAACTTCAATTGCATTTATTTGAAATGAAATAGGAACTACATTTGAAAATTAAAACAAACTTTAAGAGAAACATTTTGAAAATTGTAATCAATCGGAACTTCCCGCACCTCCCGATCCTTTGGCTTTGTCACATGACTTCATATGCTTGATTGCCATCCCGAATCCGCCTGAAGCCCCCATGATACATTTTTTTTCGCACCATTTGCAAATTGCGTATCACATCCCGGTCTTCGGGTCCTTCTGCTTATCAAAATTATACCGTATAATGGCATCTTGATTTTCCATCTTAAATTCTTAGAGAAGAGAATTAGAGAGTAGATATATAATATATTGGAGAATAAGAGAATTAGAGAGTAGAGAGTTAAGAATAGGATTTAGGAAGAATTGGAGAAGAGATATGAAAAAATGTTTAAGATTAGGAGTATTTATAGGTTTTTACCCCCCCCCCCCACCACCCCCACCACCCCCACCACCCAACCCCCCCGGACCCCCCCTTTACCCCACCCAACGGCTAGTAGGAGCCCAAACCATTTTTTTTAAAAAATTGAACCGGACCCGGGCCCGGGCCCGACCCGGCCGGGCCGGGTCACAATAATGCTGAACCGAGCCCGCCCCGCCCCTTCCCACCGGTTCGGGCCCATACCCGGTCCCGGACCGCCCGACCGGGCCGGTCCCGGGCCCGCACAGTACCGGGCCGGGCCGGGTCACGGGCCGGGTGGCCCGAACCAAATCCATCCCTAGATGGGACCCGTTGTCCGGCAAAGATCATTTGGAGATCTTCCCGATATAATTTTTTGAATATGTTTTTCATCAAGTCTAGTTAGGGATGGACTCGGGTCCGGGGCGGGTCCGGGGCGGGCTGAGGCTCGGGCGGGCCGGTGGTTATGGAATGGTGGACCCGGGACCGGCCCGGGTAGCCACCGGGTCCGGTCCTGGGCCTGGCCTGGCCTGGCCTCCGGTTTGGGTATATTTTTTGCTTTCCTAACCCCCCCTCACCCCCCTCCCAACCCCTCCCCCCAAACCCATCCTAACCATCAAGCCCAACCCGGGTGGAACCCGAAAAATGAAAAAAAAAATCAATTTGGCCCGGGCCCGACCCTCCGGGTCGGTTCGCCAAATGTGAGCCCCGAGCCCGTACTCGTACTACCCCCCGAGCCTTGGCCCGACCCGGACCCGGACCCGAAAACCGGGCCGATCTCGGTCCCGCACAGTAGCGGGCCAGTCCGGTCCACGGGCCGGTCCCGGTCCCTCATAGTAGTGGTCCGGTCCGGTCCACGGGCCGTGTGGCCCGACCCGAGTCCAACACTAAGTCTAGTTTATGTCTACTAAATATCATCTTAAAATTCCAAAGAATTGACATGATAACGGGTTGAGTATAGTAGTATACTCCCTCCGGTCCTTAATTAACTTTACACTTTTCTTTTTGAGCCGTCCCATATTAAACTTTACACTTCCTTATTTGCCTTATTTGGCAAAAAAATCTACACCAAACAGTGTAAAACAGTGTCAAACAGTGCCAAACAGTGTACTCTACAGTAAAGTCAAATTTATTTCCTTAATATGTGTGAAGTCAAACTGTACAGTTTAATAAGGACCGGAGGGAGTACTACTTATTGCTCAGTCTTGCCGGAATGGCTCAACCGGATGAAAAATGTGCAAGGAGAAATTTGTTAATTACATACCCCTGAATGTAATTAACTTAGTAGCGGACCTAAAACTTTTTTCAAGGTGGCGGGATGGACACGGGTTAGGTTTGTTCCGATTGCTCTTATTATTCAGGTGTTCAGATTTTTTTTTTTACCAGAATCTTATTGACCAGTTTTGGATTTGAGCGAGCCATGTATCTAGAGGTTTATGTAGAACATAATGTTTTACCTAGTTTAAAATTTACTACGAAATTTACAATGTATGTGTCTTTATCTGAAATAAACTAACAATGGGTAAAATCTTAAATTGTACGAAGCATGTTTGAATTGTCACAAGATTCAACCAAATTAATGGCTTTAATTAGTTCGAAAGATTAAATAATAAAAATATGAAAGCTGAATTTCACGGGTAAGGTTCAAACATATGCCATAGATGTTGCAATTTCCAACTAGTGGAAGATAAATCCGACGAAAGGTCTTGTCAATTTCCAACACCGGTAGTTTCTATTTTCAAGAACAACATTTGTTTTTTCAAGAACACCGGTAGTTAACTTTTAAAGTATAAGCAATCATCAAGTCATTTTGACCTCTTATAACAGGTTATTTTTTAAATATAAATTAGTACTATTGATAAATCTTACGAGTATAAAATTCATATAAATTAGAAAAATAATGTAATAATAATATAAAAAATAGTATAAATGTAAAAACAGATAAATAACTTTTTTGACAACAACAGAAAATTTATATTAAAAACCGATCAAAGAAAGGGTTACAACTAGTTAATAGCTCAAACTCCACCATCTATCTTCCAAAAGGCACCATCTAGACTCAACAAAAACCCTACGATCAGACTCTGGACGATCACCTCTAAAGAAGCAACGCGGAACTCTGACCACCAAACGCGCTTCATAGAGTCATACAGACCCTTAAAGTCACCGTACTTTGATCTTCACCACCTCCCTAACTTCATAATGACCAAAAGATCCTTTCAGTTCTTGATCAAACATATAAAAGTTCACCCAAAATAGATTGAAACTTTTCACTGAACATA